TAAGCTAAATTAATTTTGGCTATGAAATGCACTAAAGGGGGGTTATCTCAGGGTATTTATATCGGCAGACATTTTGTGCTATGATAGAAATTAAAAGTGTATATTCTGAGTCACTCTGAACAGACCAGACTCCATTTTGTTATTTTCAAAATGACGTCAAAATAGCCACCAGGAAAAGTTAACTCTTTCCTGGATAGGTATGTTCAGTGGGACAAGACTGCCCTCTATAGACTAAATACCTAAATTGCGTTCTGGAAGATAACCACACCTCTAGTGCTTCTATTGGGTTATCAACTGATGACGTACAGAGAGTCTGGCCCTTTAAAAGTTAAGACAAAGGGAAGATAGAAAAATACGAGAGGAGGCAGATGCAAGAGATGCAAAGGAGAGGAGAGAGGAATTGGAAGTTTGGGGACTCCAACCTCCATGCAGAGAGACATCCAAATAAGTTCCTGAGACTATCTACCAATCGGATGAAATATCTACTCAACTGGTAATTATACTGGTTTCATTTAATTAAATTAAATTAATTAAAATGTATTAATAGCATTATATATGACTGGATAAAGCACGGCCAGATTTCCATATTAAGAAATCTTAGTTAACTAAGAATATATAGTTATAAACATTCCATTCTGCAGGTGGAATTAAGAATAATTATATATTGATGTGATATTATCACGTGTTAGCATACCGCTGTTTTATCCAGGTGTATTGATTTGCTCTAAATTAAGATAGATATCTTTTAGACAAATTAAAAATCTGCTTATAAAACATATTAGACTCTATTATTGGATGGTTTAAGAAAATGAATTTAAACTGGTTTAAATGTTATTTTATTTAAAAATTACATAAGAATAGATCTTAACTACCTAGGAGATCTAGCCAGCATTGAAAGGGTTATTCTAACTGTCTGCTAAACTTTACGACCTTACGCTGCACTCTGAGGAATTCTGTTCTTCTGTGAAAAGTTTAACTTTCAGTCTGTGAAAGCTAATCATAAATCGTAGAAGTCTTGACAGATAATGCCGTTTAGCCATTGAAACGTAATCCCCATTTCTTTGTATTGCATACCATTTTATACTGAATATTCACTGATTATTGTCATGCATGTTACATAATATTATTTGTTAATTATTGGTTATCATAAATAAAATCTATTTTTATACATTGTGATATTATTATATGAAATACATTCCACTTAACACGATAAACGTTCTTTGGGATCTGAGAATTGAAATAGTGGGCAATTCTCAACTGTTACTATTATTATCCCATAAATATCCCCACAAGCCTAAACCATGGAAAACAGTATTCTCACTAAAATTGTAAAATAACCTATTAAAGTGGATGTTTTTATTCTTCATTAAAAAAAAAAAACTACCTATGATTTCTGTTTTAGTTTTTCTTATTTTTAGATAAGTAAAGATTACATTGTATATGTCATTTGTAAAGGATGCAAAAGGCTTAGGAAACCTCTACAGGTAATAAGCATGTCCCTACGGCTAGTATTACCATATTATTGTGATTGGTGATATTTGTAACCATCATGACTCCTACTCCTCCATACATATCTTGAAAACCTGCTTTATGAAAAGGAACAGTAGGAAGCAATTTTGCTACGTTCAAGTTGTGAATCACAGAGTGACTCATTGCTATATTGTAACAACTACATTAATGGCCAGTACGCAATTAACCCTTGACACAACCAGCCAGGATCGTTATGCTGTAATGTGATTTCGCTAAAGAAACACAATAGTGTTGGGAATACAAAACTGTATTCCCAACACTATAGTGCCCCTCTACCGCCCCCCGCAGCTCCCACCGTGGCAATTAAAACACCTGATTCCAGCACCAAAGTCCCTTAGTGCTGGCCCGCCTCCACTATCATCAAGAGGAAGAGCATAACATGCAAGCATAGCAAGCCCGCTTTATGCATTCCTAATAGGAAAGAATTGGATCAATGCTCTCCTATGGGGGATTTGAAGACGCTGGATGTCCTCATGCACAACATGAGGACATCCAGCATCATTTCATGAAGTTAAATGAAGAGGACAGAGAGAGACTGCACCCAGACCACTTCAACGATAGTGTCCGTTTAACCCGCTCAACATGACAAACATTAAGCACCAACTATGGCAAACACTGTCATGCCAATTTAGTCTTTAAAGAGACCTGCAATTACCATAAATGATTATGGAGTGCTATAGTGGTTATGATGTCAACAGTCCATAGTAATGATTCAAACCACTATTAAAAAACAAACACAAACCAAGAGCTTGACATAGTGATCCCTCATCTGGCTCCAAGAGTAAGGCGTCAAACTGCATTTTTTTTTAAACTTTCACATTCTATCCATACACTCTCAGCCAACAAATGAAGTTCATAGTTTGGGATAAAAATAAAATGCTATTGGTAAGTGGAAAAGGAAACTCCTGACACCATAACCATAAGCTTTTTATTCTCATTAAAGTGACTCCAAATAAGTCACAACACGAGTACATTAATAAAAATGGAATGGAAATCCACCTTGGCTGTATATACAGAACACTGACTTAGATTTAATATTTTTGGATATGCTTTTCAAATTATTTTTCACAAAATATTAAGATATCAAAAAATATTTCTCTCTCTCTCTCTCTCTCTATATATATATATATAAAAATTTAAAATGATTGTTTTTCAAAATTTTAAAAATCGCTTCAAAAGCTTATCAAAAAAAAAAATTAAACAATGGCCATATAAAGTTAAAACAGGCTGTAATAACAGGGTGAAATGTAATTGGTTCTTATGTGCAACAATACTAGTCCCACAGATATCTGAAATAACTATTTTGTGTATAAACATTCATACAAGGGTGACAGAATGGGTCATGTACCTGGCTATTAGGATACGGGTACATTAAGTACTGCTGCGGTACACAGTGTGCTTGGCTATTATGTCAGCGGAACAGAGAAAAACTGGCACGCTAGTTGGCTCTTGTCTTAACACGTGTCTCGTCTAGTAACATCTAGTACTATACTGACTCCTTCATAAATGAAATGTACTCATAATAAAACGGAAAATAAACCGTTAAAAAAAAAATCAAAGGATTTGGCCATGTCATTGCAATATTTTAAAATAATTCATGTTCACTTGTGTGTACAGGTTAAAAGATAATTATTGTTGGAGACTAAGGACCCAGCATGCTCAATTAGGAACGTCAGGCAAAATTTATATATATATATATATATATATATATATATATATACACACACAAAAATGTTTAAACTCCACACAACCTGGTTAACAAAGCAGATTTCGATCAGAGCTGTCGTTGTTCCACACTTACCTAACATCATGTCCTCATTACATAATGAAAGACTCATTACCATGCTACTGGTTTTTTTTTAGTTTGTTACAATGTACCGTTTATTTACAGGGTTTTTCACTAAACTCTGACTTCCAAATGACAAAATGTAGGCAGTAACAGCATGTACTCACTATACATCACACTGCAGTAAATTCAGTCCTCAAGCGAGACGGAAAATTTTTCAAATTAATTTTGCCTAAATTTTGGAATCATTTCATTTATAACACAATTCGTACTAACGGACAGCACAAATTTAAAAATTTTGCCATTTGAGTTTTAATTCCCTGCTATTCAGAGTTTACTGAATGAACCCTTTAGCTGGTAAGTGGAGATAATAAACAAGGAGATAGCAAAAATTAGGCCAAAATGTCAAATGGATAAAATAAATATCTGATTCAGCCATTTCTGGTAATTTTTTAGCGTAAAACGTGCAGCCCCTGTCCATTCTCCAGAACCTGCGGTTCAATGAATGTTCAAGTAGTGAACGTTCCACGTTAGAGTCCTGCTATATCCTATCCCTCCAATGCACCCACACACAGCTTACTCACCCGTTCTGGAGGCTGTCCTGGTCACGGCCCCCGTGGTTCCACTTGCAGGTGCAGAGGCTGTGACGGACCCGCCACCTGAGGCCGTTTTTGCCGGTATTTCTCCGACCCAGCCGACCAGGTTATGGCAACAAGCGAAGCTGGCCAGTGAGCCCAGCACCGGGGGAGACAGAGCCCTCCTCTTCACCGGGGAGTGGTGAGGCTGCTGCCGCAGAGAGGTGACGCACAGGGCGGGCACGTCTCTTAGCGCCGAACACAGCCTGCCTGCCGAACCGTGATACATCCCTGGATACACACGGTGAATGCAGAGCAGATCAGGGCGGTCACACAAAGAGAGAGAGAGGAGCGAGCTGCTGGAGAGTAAAGACCGGACGGCCACAGATAGCAAGCACTGTGTTAATAGATTAACTCGGAATAAACCCGATACAATACTGGTTACAAAGAATCTGCCGCAGCCCTGCTCTCATACCGGCTTCTCAGCATCTGAGCCACTCCCCGGACACCACGGCTGGAATTACATCAGGATGCCGAAACGTCATCAGCAGAAACTACAGGGAGAGCTCATTCCAAAAATGGGGGACTCACATGAAATAACCGGGATCATACAGCTGTGAGATACATAATAGACTCTTATTGTAAACTCTCTGGTTCTGTCTGTGTTCGATATACATGTTTAATGTCTCATTAAGCGACGCTGCATGCAGAGGAATGAAGCTGATTATAGTTCTCGCTCCCCGCTTCCCCCTCCTTTATGCTGGGTGGTATGACCGACGATAGGGTTTCCCTTGGCTAAGGCAGAATAACAAAGAGCCAGTTTGAACTGATGGGAAACTGGGTGAGAGGTTATACAAATGGGAGGGGGAGTTATTTGGATTTGTTATGTAAGACGCTCAGTCCGCAAATATTGGACCTGGAAAATGCTAACACAGACTTTGATGTTAAACAATAACTATCTCTGATACTTTATCCTCACACACACATTCAAGGCAGAACTATTTTGTTTTTAGCAAAGATTGCATTATTTGTTAAAGAAACACTTCAGGCACCATAACCACTACTGTTCTCCGGTCTCCTCTTCTGGAGCCAAAAGTTCCTGTAAGAAGCTTCCGTTACCTAGAAATAGCTAAGGCCTTCAGGGCAGAGCTGGCTCATTTGCTGAGAGTTTCATCTAAGTGTTCTCAACCAATGAGTGCCTCCCTGCACGGCCAAACATCTCTCACAGCAGCAAGATTCTGGCTAAAGAGGAGGTTCCAGAGAGCATCAGATGCACTCCAGGCAAGTAGTGGCATCATCACTATTTTCAATATTAATAATTTTTTGCCATAGGATAATTTGGGGGAAATGTTCTGTGTGTCTAATTCACAATTAAAGGCCCAAATATAAATAAATAAATACAATTTTATTTTTTTTTAACAAAAAATAAATAAATCACTATTTAGTTTGTAGACATACCCCCAATGAAAACATATCTCCACTAGAGATGTCGCGAACCGTCCGCGAGAAGTTCGCGGACGGTTCGCGACATCTCTAATCTCCACTAGTATAATGCGAGACACATTTGGTTGTGTGAATCGCAGCTAAGGACATAGCCAGAGTGACAGTAGATATTGGTTGATAGGGTTTACAATAGGAAATAAGCAAGTGTTTATCGACATTTCTAAGTGAGGATTTTTTGGATTCAAAACATTTCACACATTAAACCAGAGACCACCCTGGAGCTTGTTAACACGTATAAACAACATGGAACGTTTCTCACCGCAGTGTTCTAATTGTTCGTCCGGGTGGCCGCAATTCCTATGGACAACCACGAGGTGACGGCCACCTTGTTCACATGAACGAAGGCAGTGGTGTTTGTCCATGAATTTCATGGAACTAAAATCGGACACAGAAACTCTCGAAAACCGCTGGACTTCCATCATCGCCTGTGTTCGGTTCTATACAACTTAGAAGGGTACTGTTCGGTGAAATCATTTGTCTGGATGAGGGGAACAAGCTCCAAGGGTAAGACTATTGACTCTGTTCGGTAGTTTGTTCGTTTTCAAACTACCGAACTAGAACGACCGCAAGCCCTGATTCTCTGGAAATGTTTTGGGCATGGGAGCATGCCTGTGATCAGTCAAATAAGAACTCCATGGAAATCCCAAACCCCTGAACCGATCTGGGTAATTTTTGGATATGTTGTTCACCCAGATCGGGGCTATCAGGGGGATTATAGGGTTTCCATGAGTATTAGGGGTACTTTTAGGGTTTTACAAAAATATCTGTTTTTCTGCCTGGAGATAATTGAGTTAATACAGTATTTGACTCAATTATCGCCCAGGCAGAGGGAAGGGATTGTATGTCTGCATATGGGAGTGCCATGCATTTAAACATTGATGTTATTGGTCTGTGACTTTCCCCACAAGGTCCATGTAGGAGTACCCGTTGCATGGGGACTTGCATAAAAGGCCAGTGTGGCTACCAATAAATCAGTTCACTTCACCCTCAACACGCAGCCTCGTCTCGTGATTGTAGGGAACAGCTATACCAGCTATACCTGCTTCGGATTACTATACTGGCTATAATCTGCTTTTCCGAGTGTCATCCTGTGTGGTGGACAGCGCGACATGCTTCTCCAGTGAGTCCCAGCAGCGAGTGAAGATCGCCTCTGCTTCGGATTACTATACTGGCTATAATCTTCTATTCGGAGTGTCACCCTGTGTGGTGCACAGCGCGACATGCTTCTCCAGTGAGTCCCAGTAGCAAGTGAAGATCGCCTCTAGTTTTTTCAAGGTCTGCTGGGACAGTCCTTTCCGGGCGGCGTAAATGCTTGCTCATAGAGTATGGGCGCATCTGCCATCTAGGCTCATGTGCTGAGGTTGTTGTGCAAGCCTCCCCCGGTATTAGGTGCAGAAGAAGAGTGAGCCAGTGGGGACCGGGATAACCCCCACCAGTGCTAGGGGGGGAGGGTATGGGGCTGCTGGGTATCACCTTGAGGACAAAGCTTGTGCGTAGCGGGAGATTGGCCGCCTCCCCCGTCTGTTGACTGCACCAGGCCTCGCTGGTAATTCCCAGAAACGTGGATGGAGAAGTCCACAAAAGGTGCCCCCATGCTTAGCTTGTGCGTAGCGGGAGATCGGCCGCCTCCCCTGCCTGTTCGCTGCACCAGACCTCGCTGGTAATTCCCAGAAACGTGGATGGAGAAGTCCACAAAAGGTGCCCCCAGGCTTCTCTGCAGGCTCCCAAAGCTGGTAAGTCACTTGAAAGTTCAGATTCGTGTCTTGGGAGTTAGTGAAGCAGCTTAATCTTAAGATCAGGCCGGGAGCTTCCACCAAACACGTCTAGCCCCCATGCGGCTCAGGCCCCGCCCCCGTTCTAATTAGTTTTTAGTTCATAGAGACATACCCACAGCCAAGAAGAGTCTTAAAACGCTAGCAGGCAGGTTTAGGCTTAGGTAGGATTACTTGCAGTGAAGCATAAAAGAACACCACACCAAATTTCACAAACACTGTTAACATTTTCATTTTTATTGTTAAATAAAGAATTCTATTTCGTCAGCAACAATTTTCTGCACACTTTTCAGGCATGAAAACCAATAACCCTTGTTGTCAATTGAATGAGTAACATGCTATATTTAAAGGTTCATTGAGGTCAGCTTCTGGCACATGGCCTGCCTTATCTGTTAATGCTGTGTATGCAGAAATGTTAGATTGCAAATTTATTTCTGTTTTCCAGGTAAGATGCAACTAGATAATTTATGTTTTTATTACAAAGGTAACACAAGGACATGTAAATTGTCTTCCGTTAATATATGCACAGTAAAATATGATTTGTTGTTTTAACACCATACGTCAGCATAATTGATAACATATCAAGCAATTATTAACAGGATGAATTTTAGGGTATTTAGGCTACAAACCATTAATTCTGTAGTATACTTAGTATATGTAGCATAGTCCCACCAATGGATTTAATTAAAGAAACATTTCCAGCATCAAAATAGCGCTTATGGTGCCTAATGTGCCCTGGCATCCCCCCCTCCTTTGTAGTAGTACGTCTTACCTGAGTACCATCTGTCCTGCAGGCAGAAGTGAGAGGCAGAAGCTTTTGTTAGCTCTCCTGAGCTAAGCTCTGCAGCAAAGGTTAGCTCATTGGCTGAGAGTGTAATTTGCGCTGTGATAAAGTGAAGGCAGAGAGCCCTTTAACATTTAACCCCAGGGGAAGTACGTGTTGTATGTGTGGTGTGCAACACAAGGCTACTTTTAGTTATGGGCCCCTGGAGTGGAGCATTTGGAGAGCAGGGTGGGCCAATGCTCCACTCCTCAGTTTATACACAACTGGGAGAACTAAGGTCCAGGCCAGAGTTTTTGGAACTGTCTCCAACCCACTGTTCAGCTGCTGCTAGGCAGGTAAAGGGGGATTGCTGGCTTCCTCCCTGGAAGCAGGTAGGAGAGAGGCTGTTCTCTCCAGTGAGAGAGTCAAGGAGACTGAGCACTGGGAGTGCAAAAGGAAAGCAGTCAAGGCTGGCTTGGAGCACTGGGTGCGCAGAAGGAAGCAGTCAAGGCTGGCTTGGAGCACTGGGAGTGCAGAAAGGAAAGCAAGAGGCTGACTAAGCACTGGAGTGCAGAGAGCTGACAAAGACACTAGGTTGGTGAAACCGATATTGTTTTGTTCTAGTTTAACCCCTGAGAGATAGGGAACCTGATGTTAGTAAGTGCTCAGATGAGCTAGGTTTTTGTTTATAGGGATTTGTGTTAAATTTATGTTTTCAGTTGCTGCTTTCTCCTGTGTGGACTTACAAATAAAGTGCCTGGATTATATGAAAATAAAAGGACTGTGCCTGTTGTTTACCCTAGAGGACCATGCTATCTGCAAACAAGGATCACAATATGGTGGAGGATGCGGGCATTGTAGCACATTGAGGGTCCGCGCTGTCAGGGGGGGGTCTGTCACCATCCGCACGCATCCTTCACCCAGCCATCCTCATCCGTAGCGGAACGGTGCCTGTATCCACCAGCGGGGTCATAGCGAGCCAGGGGGACCAACATGCCCGACGTTTCCGCTCCAAAACCCATGGCAGCGGCCGAGGCCAGGGGTAACGGCGCCGGCAAGAGGAAGTGAGTTTGAATGGTTCTGGCAAACTGGTAAAGATAACTGGTTGTGCAAACCCAGGGAAAACTGTTACTATTGTCGTTCGTGGATCCAACAAATTGGTTATCGAAGAAGCTGAGAGATCCATCCATGATACACTTTGTGTGATACGCTGCTTGGTAAAGAAAAGAGCGTTAATTGCTGGAGGAGGAGCCCCTGAGATTGAACTAGCCTTGCGTTTGAACGAATATTCTCGTACACTAAGTGGCATGGAGGCCTACTGCATCCAGGCCTTTGCAGATGCCATGGAAGTTATTCCATCAACGTTGGCTGAAAATTCAGGCCTTAACCCAATATCAACTGTAACAGAACTGCGGAACAGGCATGTGCAGGGGGAGAAAACTGCTGGTATTAACATCAGAAAGGGTGGAATTTCTAACATTATGGATAAGCTTGTTCTTCAGCCCCTGTTGGTGTCTATCAGCAGCCTGACCTTGACTTGCAGAAAGTCCCAGTAAGGAAGTATTTCCCCAGTAAGTGGATTAATCTCATAAGAGCAAGCAGAGGATACTCCTGGGGAGGAAACCAGGCAAAGGAAAGATGAGCTAAGCTGGGAGTCTGGGCCTCCGGCACAAGAACAGCGCTCCATATGAGACCAGACTGAGAAAAAACTCAGATGCTTCAACTGCCACATGCAAAGACATATTGCATATCACTGTCCTGAGAGTGAAGAGCCAATACAATGTGACATAGGAATAAGGGCTCTGCATAGGATTGTATTGACTTGCTTAAAGATGTGTATGGTGACTGGTGGTGGTGTTACAGCACAGCTAAAAGTGGTGATGGTGGTAGGGAAGAGTGCACAAGCACTGATAGATTCAGGGAGTGCGGTTACTTTGATGAAAAGTACTCCAGCCAGAGTATGCAGCTGCCTACCTTGATGTGGTTTTTCACAGGGTGGACTGGGTAGCAGACCTGATGAAGGTCCAGTTAGTTGTGAATAATGTAAGGGCTGCCGGTTGGACCGCTAACACTACTAAGTGTTATCTAGGATTTGAGGAAGCTAACTATTTGGGTTATCCACTTGGGTGGGGGCTCCTTAAACTACAAGGGAGCAAAGTAGCAGCCATTTACAATAGGCCACTTCCTGTAACTGAGGAGCAAGTCAGGGCTGGTACAGCCCTAGGTGACGTGAATGTTCATGGTTTGTGTTCTAAGGCCGCTCGCCCCGATGGGTCTGAGCTGGGGAGAAGGATATGTGATAAAGTGAAGGCAGAGAGGCCTTTAACATTTAACCCCAGGGGAAGAACGTGTTGCATGTGTGGTGTGCACACAAAGCTACGTTTAGTTATGGGCCCCTGGGGTGGAGCATTTGGAGAGCAGGGTGGGCCAATGCTCCACTCCTCAGTTTATACACAACTGGGAGAAATAAGGTCCAGGCCAGAGTTTTTGGAACTGTCTCCAACCCACTGCTCAGCTGCAGATAATCAGCTGTAGCAGTGGGAATAAACCTCTCCCTGCTAGGCAGGTAAAGGGGGATTGCTGGCTTCCTCCCTGGAAGCAGGTAGGAGAGAGGCTGTTCTCTCCAGTGAGCGAGTCAAGGAGACTGAGCACTGGGAGTGCAAAAGGAAAGCAGTCAAGGCTGGCTTGGAGCACTGGGTGTGCAGAAAGGAAAGCAACAGACTGACTAAGCACTGGAGTGCAGAGAGCTGACAAAGACACTAGGTTGGTGAAACAAATATTGTTTTGTTCTAGTTTAACCCCTGAGAGATAGGGAACCTGATGTTAGTAAGTGCTCAGACGAGCTAGGTTTTTGTTTATAGGGATTTGTGTTACAGTTATGTTTTCATTTGCTGCTGTCTCCTGTGTGGACTTACAAATAAAGTGCCTGGATTATATGAAAATAAAAGGACTGTGCCTGTTATTTACCCTAGAGGACCGTGCTATCTGCAAACAAGGATCACAGCGCCTTAAGGCAGATTGGCACGGGAGCACAATGTAGAGTGGCTGACCTGACCTCAGTACTTCAGTGTACTCAGCGGGCAGCTTCCTGTCAGAAAGGGCAGAGAATAAGAAAATCTTCTACTGCCATGAGAGGTGAGCAGACACTCAAGTGGGGAATGGGGAGTGTGACGGACCGCCTGCACCCTGACCGGTTACCTCAGTCAATTGCTGCTTCCTACTACTTGCGAGTACAATAAGCACTGCACTGGAACACCATAACCACCGCAAACCCCACGAACCGCCGCAGCTTGGATGGGGTCTCGCCGTCCTCCACCCACCCTGGACCCAAGACCAGGATCCAGCTTCCAGTGGGTAGGCCTCCCTTAGTGCCGAGAGCGTAGCAGGAACCGCTCTTACAAGAGCTAGTGATTATACTCAGGGGAGTATAGTGATTATAGCAATCCCCAGAGTGTAGTTCTCCAATCCCCCAAACATGAGCCGAAACTTCATGAAGGTGCAAGATGATCTGAGAGTTTAATGGTACAGGTTGGATTTTTATACAACTTTTCAGGCCAGAGGAACACCCACTGGACTTGATGGGGCACAGGAAACAAATTGTACAAACCAATAGAAACAATGTAACAATGCCTGACACTCCCACATACAGCACACAATCCCTCCCCTCTGCCTGTGATACAATTAAGGCTGGCCAGCAGGCCCCTCCAAGAACCCCTGACGAGGTTCAGTTTGTCACAGGGCCATAATCACAGGGTAGGAGGCTGGCAAACAGGCCCCTCCAAAAGCCAGTGACGAGATTACTTTTGTCACAGGGAGAGACCACAAAGGGACATGGGGAAGGGAACACAGACCTACACACAAAGGGGCTGGGGAAGGGAACACAGAGAAACATAGAGGGGCTGGGGAAGGGGACACACAAAGGGGCTTGGGAAGAGGACACAGTGACACACAGAGTGGCTTGGGAAGGGGACACAGACACACAGTGGGGCTTGGGAAGGGGACACAGAGACACACAGAGGGGCTGGAGAAGGGGACACAGAAACACAGAGGGGCTGGTGAAGGGGACACAGATACATTTAGAGTGGCTGGAAAAGGGGACAATGACACACAGAGGGTCTGAGGAACGGTACAATGATATACAAAGAGTGGCTGGGGAAAGGGACACAGAGACACGTAGAGGGGCTGGGGAAGGAGACACACAGAGGGGCTGGGGAAGGGGACACAGAAACACAAAGGGGCTGGAGAAGAGGAAAAAGAGACACTCAGAGGTGAAAAGCAAAAGGCGGATGGCTGTGGGAGAAAAAGAGACCCAGCACATCAGAGACACACAAAGGTACTGGAAGGGTAGAGACACACATAGGAGGGACTGAAGAGGGTGAGAAAGAGACACAGAAAGAGGCTGTGTAAGGGGAGACAGAGACACACAAAAGAGTTAGGGGGGAGAAATAGACACACAAAGGACCTGGAAAGAGAAAGAGACACACAAAGGTGACGGGAGAAAGAAACAAACGGCTGGGGGGAGAAAGAGATATGCACAGGTGCTGGTGGAGTAAAAAACTTACAAATGGGATGGGGTAAGTAAGAGACACACAAAGAGGCTGAGGGAAGTAAGAAACACGCAAAGGGACTAGAGGGAAAGTAAGAGGACACAAAGAGGAGAGCAAGAGACAACCCCCTTTCGGAGGGGAGCTGGTCACCTAAATAGTTAAACAACATAGTGTCAGGAATACATTTGTATTCCTGATACTATAATGTTAGTTTAAAACTAAAATGAAACTTATCAGGAAGTGAGAATTTACATTTAGCAGCACATTCTTTACATTAAAAATTACATTATATGCCATATGCAATAAAGTGACAAAGCATGGGTTCTATTGACTGTGAATAATTAATTTATTTTGCTAAAATATGTTCGTCAAAGAACTCTGGAACAATATAAGTCACAGTATTCTTTCATTGTATCAGTCACCTTGTGGATTTTGTATACTCACAGTATTCATTTAGTAAGCGGTCACAATATAAGTTTTTCCATTTATTTAGTAAACATATCAAATTCCCCCCCCTTAATCTCACCTGTGCTGCTAAGAGATCAAGCTGACCTGCTGAGGAGGAAGTGCTACAGAGCGCTGACGTGATGTCTGCTGTCATCACACTCCTTGGCAATACCCACACCCATGCAACAACTTAACCTCAAACTGGAGGAGAAAAAGTTCTGCATTTGTTCCGCAGACAAGAAGATAAATGCTTGCGCAGACCAGTTAATGTAAACAGGGACGGGTGAGCGGCAATTTGCCTAACCTCCAATTGGAGGAATAAAAGCTGTACATTCTATCTGAAGACAAGTAGATAAATGCCTGCCATGACATGGCTGCCATCAGAAATTTTGGGTCACTTTACACAGCTCAAGGCAACCCCCGAGTCCGCCCACAAGAATAAGTAAAGTCGATGCAGTGTGTGTATAGTGGATGCAAAGTGGGTTTGTATATGTATAGTGGATGCGGTGTATGTAGTGGATGCTTTGTGTAGTGATGCAGTGTGTGTAGAGGATGAAGTGTTTGCATAGTGGATGCAGTGTGTTCAGTGAATGGATTTTGTGTAGGGGAAGTAGTGTCTGTGTTTGTGTATTGGGTGCTGTGTATGGTGAATGCAGTGCCTGTGTTTGTGTAGCGGTTGAAGTGTGTGTAGTGAATGCATTGTGTATGTAGGGGATGCAAATTGTGTGTATATAGTTGTTGCAGAGTGTGTGTTTGGGTAGTGAATGCTGTGTCTGTGTTTGTGTAGTGATTGTAGTGTGTGTAGTAAATGCATTGTGTGTGTAGTGGATGCAGATTGTGTATAGTTGTTGCAAAGTGTGTGTTTGTGTAGTAGATGCAGTGTCTGTGTGTAGTGGATGCAGTGTCTGTGTTTGTGTAGTGGATGAAGAGTATGTAAGGATGCATGTACGGGCCAGCCATGGTTATAGTCATTAAGGACATTGTGTAATCTCTTTATGAATGTGATAAAGCAGGTGAACCTTTGTATTAGCTGGTAAATAAAGACACCAAGTGTCAAAGAACAAAATCCTTTGCATTGTTATTTGCTGAAGAGATAAATGCTTATTTTGTTTGGTGATGATATCAAGCATGTGTTTACATAATCTCTGCATTGATCATTTGTTTTGGCTCTTTTGTTGGTTGTTCATTGTTAAAGTTTATTAAATATTCACAGACTTTCCAAAGGGTATCCTTCTAGTTTGATTTCCCCGTTTAGATTGCTATTTTATATCACTCTTTTCTGGCTCTTGACTGTTTCTATCTCTATATTTTTGGTACCTAATTTGATTTATGTTTAGAAACTATTTTTATTTTTCATATTAGGTTTATACTCTAACTTTTATTTGTACACGATACATTATATTCACTAATGCTAAAACCTGCCATGTTTTACATTTGACTCCATGTTTATTTTTCATAAACACAGAGACATCTTGATAAATTGGTGTGGTGTGATTGGAGGGAAACTATCCAGCCTGTCTGGCCAGCTCCACATGTGCAGAGCGTTTTTGAAGTATTCTGGGCATGGGCACAAATGACCTGACAGCAGGGTCATAATTTAAACCCCCAAACTGTAAAAAAAAAATGTTATCACCTTCACCCTCCTTTGTTAGGGAAATTACATGCA